GCGCTTCGTGGGGTGCGGACGGCGGTGGAGCGGCGCAGCCGGGCCGAGGCGGCGGGCGAGACGGCAGCGGGCGTGATGGAGCGCGCCGTGGTCCGCTGTGTGCCCTCGGAGCCCAAGCTGAGCTTGTCGTTCGCGCTGGCCGACGGCAGCCATAAGAACATGCAGCGCGACCAGAGCGAGCCGCTGGGTCGTGCCCTCAGCCGGATCGCCACCAACGCCCTCAAGGGCCACGCGAAGGCGGCCGCCACCAAGAAGAGCAGGAAGAACCGTCCGAATGCGAGCAGCGGCGCGGCCGGTGCAGGGCCTGGGCCTGGGCCTGGGCCTGGGCCTGGGCCTGGGCCTGAGCCTGAGCTGGCCGCGGCCTGCGAGCCGGTGGTGAAGCTGTACTACCGCGAGGAGGCAGTGGCCGAGGACGTGCTCAACGTGGACGCCTGGCAGGACGGCGCGGTGCTGCAGATCGGCGATGTCAAGTACAAGGTGGAGCGCAACCCGCCCGCCTTTACCGAGCTGCAGTTGCCGCGCTACCTCATGGCGGGCTTCCCGGTGTGCCCCAAGCTTAGCCTCGAATTTGGGGATCCCTCCGGCTCCGTCTTCCGTTGGTACAAAGAAGCCAAGCCCGGCGGAGCGGAGCCTGAGGACTGTCAGTGGGGTCCATCGTCTCCCTCCTCGCCCTCTTGTACCTGGACCTATACGAACCAGGAGATGGTATTCCAGAGATTTCCTGTCCTTCAGGTAAAGTACTCCTCCGCCTGTCTTCACTTATTCGTCTATTTAAAGGGCCTGTAAGGCGGAGTGTGAAGGTGGAGGTTAAAATTGAGGCGAAACTATCCAGATTTTATTGATCACCTCCGGCATGCCTGTCACACTGCAGGTTGCCTTGAAGGGAGACTTTCAATAGTGCTTACCTCATACGTGGAACATACACATGCTGAATACAGGAATAAATGATAGCTAATATTTTTTACTACTTGCCAAGCACTGTTCTATAAGCACATTTTAAGTGCTTAATGTTTATGTGCCTGGTGACTTATGAAGTGCTTCATAAATACTAGCTAGTTCTTATTGCTTGGTTTAATCTTCACAATAATCCCGCGATTTCCATTTTACAGGTGTTCTAGATGTTATTCTTTATGTTCAGTGAGGAATTGATCGGATTCACACAAGTATGGAGCCAAGAGTCTCACCTATTTGCTTATGTATTCATCACCGGGCAGGGTGTTATCTGCCACTTAACTTAAAGCTGTCGTTTTTTAAAACATGTTGAGTGTCCCATCATTTTTAGTAACTGATTTTGTTCATAAATATAATGTCCATTTTTTGTGTATGTGTTGTGCATCTCTCTCTATAAAGTCATGTAAGTCCACACAGAGGTTCCCCATGAAGTGCATGGTACTGTCTTTTTACTTGTAGGGAGCTGGCTTAGAAAAGTGTCTGTGACAGGTCACACTGCTTGCTGTAAATGCTAGAGTGGTTATTAACATTTAGGTCTGCCTGACTCCAAAGCCTGCCTTTACCCACTGAAAACACTTGTCTCCAAACTTAGTGTTGTCATAAAAATGTGTTATTTTTACACCACAGGTGGTCCCCAACTTTTTGATGTGAAGAGGATAAGCATGTGGTAGAAACCTGAAGTCTTGGATGAACTATTCAGCACTTCCAGGCTAGAAGTATTTTTGAAACTGACACTTGATTTTTTTTTTTTTTAAATCAACACAACTGAAGAAAAAGAAATTTCTAGGAATGGAAAATATCTGCCAAGTTAACACTTTAAGGAACTATGTGGGAATTCAAAAAGTTTGTAGAAAAATAGAATTATAGTACAACTTTATTGTAGGATGAAAAGAATTTTAAACCCAGGCCATTTTTTTATAATATGCATTTTCCATGAACTTTGATGACCTTTACAGGCAATCTCATATATCTTTTTAAACCCATTTAGTGAAAACTAGCAATCTTATTTTCTCTTTTTTTATATAATTTTATTTCTGGAGAGAGGGAGAGATGGCACTCTCTATAAGATGTTCATGCTATGATTTTCCTGCAGCCCCAGAGCTAACCAGAATATAAAGCACATTTGTAGGGATGTTGAGGAAGACCTAGGATAGGAACATGGAACCTTCCCACATGGTATCCAGAAGTATGTGGCATTGCCTTTACTGCCTGCACAACTGCAGGTGAGCCCAATTTGTCTTTTTTTAAAACATCTAGGACTCAACCTGTAGTTGTTGGCTATGTGGGATCCAGAAGCCTTAACCTTCACACTGCTGGCGGGCACCCAATTTGTCTCTTAATGCAGTCATTTCCAGTGGTATTAAGAGCAGCCCTATATCACAAATAAGATTATATGGAGTCCCTCTATTCCCTCTTTTAAAGTCCATGAAAGGATCTTTAACTTGTTAGTTTTTTTTGTTTTGTTTTTAATTATCAGAGGGTGGGTGTGCTTGCCAGACAGAGTGAGCAAAAGAAAAAGCACTCCCTCCTCCAGTACTTCAATACACAAGTACATGTGCCCCAGCATGTCTTTTAAACCACAGGATCCAGGACTTGAACCCTGGTCAGTCATGTGGGATCCAGTTTCCAATGTAAGATGCACAATCACAGCTCTAGAGTGCCAGTTCTAGTTTTTAAAACACAGTGGTGATTTTACTATAGTCCTTATATTGAAAAATAGTCCTAACCCTGAACTTACTGAAGTTTTATATCTCCTAGTTGATAGCCCATAAACTACACATATTGTACCATATTTTAACTTTGTCCAACAAAAAAATGAGACCTCTCTTATTTGGAAGGAAAAATAATTCACCTAGTGGGCTAAATAAGTTAGACTTAATAACATCAAGTGACACTGGGGCCAGCAGGTGGCATATTGGTTATATCTCTGGACTCCAACATGGCTGATGGTTTGAGTCCCAGACCTGGAGGCTTGAAACTCACATCAGGAGTGTGTGCGTGCATGCTCAAAATCCCAAGAGGAGAATAAAGAAGGGATTGTGGCGTGGCCATCACTCCTGGGGGTGATTTCTCACTTTCTGTCTCTGTGGTAAGTGCATGTACCCTATAGCAAAAATCTCTCTGAAACATCAAGTGACATAAACTGGTTAAATTATATTTTATCTCAGTAACCTATTCTGTATAATCATTAACACTTAATTCCAATTTTCTTTTGCTTAATCCAGGGTGGTTTTTTTTGTTTGTTTGTTTTTCCTTAGTTAAAAAAATATTCATTTTTTTACAATCATGTATTAGGTTTTGGAAATAAAATTTGGGGACTAGCCCAATTTATTATCAGCTCATATTCTTAGGAACAAGTGTCTTAAAATTTAAAATGAGTTGTATCCTTGTCACTTCTGCTCTCTGGCACAATGTAGAAAAAGTCATATTCTTCTCCCATGTTACCCTGCCAAAATATAATGAACCTATCCAGTTCCTTTAACTATTCCTGTTAGTAAAAGTTACAGTTTAGGTGTAACAGGTGGTGTGGTGGTTATGGCACAGTCCCATATGGCCAAATACCTCGTTCCAGTTCTAGATCTGGCAGATTGAAAAACATGCTATGCACATGTACAGGGATGCCCAAAATTCCAAGCAGAGAATGGAAAAGGGACTACAGTATCTCCATCCCCCTTGTGGGGGGTGGGGAGATTACTCTCTCTGTCTACCCCTCTCCCTCCTTTTCTCTCCCTGGCAAATGTTCACCCTGTAGCAAAATTTAAAGAACAACAAACTAAGTTATTTAAAGTGGTCGAGTTTAGTTCTTATTAACTTAATAGGTGAAAGTAATGTGAATACATTTATTGCCTTTTAAAAAAAAAATCTGTGTAGGGACAAAGGCTCTAACTTCCTTCCATCCTTCCATTTTTAACTTGACCTGAGAGGGACAGAGTAAGAGAAGGAAAGTGAGGAAGCCAGTCACCAGGTCCAAGACTCAATCAGTGATCAGCTATGTGCAAGGCCAGCACCCTTAACCATGACGCCACCTACCGGCCCCTTTTATTGTCTTATTAACAAGAATTAGTCACATCCAGCTTGCTATTGAAATTCTGAAATTTGTAAAAAAAAAAAAAAAAAAAATTAAATTAAATTAAATTAAAATTTAAAAATTAAAAAAATAAAAGGGTGGGGGTGCTCTCATACGGCTGGCTGCAGTTCAAGTCCCATATCTAGCGGCCCAAAAAATCACACAAAGCATGTGTGCCCAAAATCTCAAGAGGAAATTCAAGGAGAAAGAATTGCTTTGTTGCAATCCCCTTTTCGGGGCTGATTTCTCACTGTCCCTCTCACTTTCTCTCTGTGACAAGCACACACAACCTATAGCCAAAGCCTAAAGCCTTAACAAAAAAAAAAAAAAAAAAAAAAGGAAAGTCATTGTGTATTTTGTTCTTTGTGGAAAAGAAGTAAGTAGTATCACTAACAGTCTGTATTTTGCATGCAAATAGCACTTAAAAATTTAAGCTTTTTTAAAAAATATATTTATTTCTTTATTTATTTTAATTTTGACGAGAGAGATACAGAGCAAAAGAGCGAAAGTAAGTGAAAAAGTCAGTCGCCAAGTCAGAGACTCAAACTGCGGTGGCCCATTTAGGAGTCCAGTGCCTTTAACCACCATGCCACTTGCTGGCCACATGCTAAAAGTTTATCTTCACACTAACATTAACTCTAAATATTGATTTATTTATTTCCATTTGTTATTATTTAATTTGACTAGAGAGAGTGAAAGGGAAAGTGAAAAAGCAAGCCACCAGGTCCAGGACTCAAACCATGATCAGCCATGTGGGAATCTAGTGCCTTTAACCACCATGTCACCTGCTGGTCCCCTAATGTTAGCTCTAAAACTAAGTATTTCCATATGTGCTTTTTGGGCAGTTCATTTTAATACAAACTCTTGGTCTGATTTATAGCATCAAAATACTACTTTAAAAAAGAAACATTTTTGCTGTTTCTCCCAACTCTGATACCCGCAATTAATTTCCAATTAAAACAATCAATAAATCCAGTGTAATCTAGATTATTGGATATAGTATATAAAACACACAGATCAACTCTGCAGCATAAGAAAATACATTTCAAATATTTTAAGATTAAAAAGAACACAGTTATGTATTTTATCATTTTATTAGGAATAATTCCAAATGGGTTATAAAAACTTACTGGATTTGATGAATTTTTCAAAAACTTATCAAGATAGGTTTACCAATAAACAGTAAGACTTCAACCCAATTGTCATATACTGGGCAAAGAGCCAGGCTGATACTAAAAGCAACATGCAAATAAAAATATAATATAAAGGAAGACAACCTGCTGAGTATTAAAAACCATCTCAATGTAAACTCTTTGCAACCAACTCAGAACTAAGCAGCTATCAAATCCAAACCATACCAAGAAAAAGGTAAATCTGATGAAAAAGCCAGGACTTACTAATACGGGAAAAAAATACGTTTCTCTGTTCAAGAGAGCTAAATAGTGTCTTGGAGCATTTCCCTGGCTGATACAAGCAGTATTAGAAAATCTTATTGGCAAGGGAGAGAAATAAATACAATGGAATGATACATTTTAAAATCAGCAGACTGTCTCAGGAATGATAAAGATATCAATAAAGTAGAAAGGAGATAACTCTAAAACATTATTTGTTGTGGTCTCAAAAAATATTCAAAGGGCATTTATTTAAAAGTCTCAGAATAGCTCTGTCCAAATAAAGGCTTAAGGGAAGTAAAATGAGGACATTTTCCACCTCCAAGACTTTCTTTTAAACCAAGCATATTGCTAACTAGCAACATACCTGATAAACAATAATTGGCAACAAAATAAGTTTAAACTCTGGGATATTCTACCAAAAATAGTTCTAGATACCATTTAATAACCAAGATGGAAACTAATCTTGTTATAACAGGCTAGACCAATTTTGTCAAACGTGTCCTTAGTTTGATGTCCGGTTTCACTTAACGTTTTGAAAGTTCATTTGATAGCCAGTCAAGTCCCTCATATAGACCAGTTCCTTGTGTAGCACAAGTGGCTTGTACATACCACTGTAAAAAATAAAAAAGGACAAGAAAATACTTGATTAACATAAAACCATTAAAACTTTCTGAATCAAAACATTAAGTATATTCCTCCGGATGCCCAAGGGTATTACCAAATCATCAATTATGGCACATATAAGAAAAAAGAAACTATATATAAAACCAAAGGAATAAAGTTGATCAAATATTTACAGGTACTAACATTTCACAAATGATTAATTTTACATATGTGTGTGTGTGTGTATTTTTTTTTTTTTGAGAGGTTTTTGCTATAGGGCGCGTGTGCTCGCCAGACAGAGACAGAGACAGAAAGCGAGAAATCACCCCCCAGAGGGGATGGCCATGCCGCAATCCCTTCTCCATTCTCCTCTCAGGATCTTGGGCACGCACGCAGAAGCGCCTGGCGTGAGTTTAAGCCACCAGGTCCGGGACGTGAACCGTGGTTGACTACGTGGGAGTCCATGACCCTAACTGCTGGTTCCCCTTTTTTTTTTTTTGAGAGAGATTTTTTTTTGTTGTTAAGGTACAACTACTTGCCAGAAAGGGAGGGAAAAAGCACCCCTAAATGAGGTGTGGTCACAGGAATCTCTTCTCCATTTTCATCCTGTCAGGATTTGGGGCATGCATGCATATGCACCTGGTGTGTATCTCAAGTTGCCAGGCTTGACATTTGAACCTAATGGCCATGTGGGATCCAGCTCCCTTAACCACTTGGCCATGGGACCCACCCAATTAACTTTATATTTAATGATCTCAGTAACTGTATAGGTTACTCCAGACTACCCTTTTAGAGTCCTTTTACTAAGACCTCTTGCTTCTCAGAAAACTGCCCTCATATTTAAAGCTACATTTTTACTTAGTTAGATTTAGTCAACTTCCACCAATTAAATCTAAGTAGAAGATTCATGATGAAATTAGTAATATCAATAAACTACCCACCTGCTCTTTACAATCCTCTTTTTTTCCCATAAAACAAAGTTCAAAGTAGAAGAGGCAAATTGGTAAAGAGTAGGATTTGATATTTTAAAGGTAAGCTTTTCAGTAATTTCACTGTCTTTAGTCGCATGCATTCCAAAAAGGCCCACCTTTTTAAATGGTAATTAATATCTCCTGTAACTGTACACCATTTTGCTAATAATGATATGAATACCAAACAGCTGGTGGCCTAGAAGATTGGGTAAAAGGTAACTTCACGGTGTAGGAAACTTGGATCATTTTGTTTTTCTTCTTTAGATCAGCCTGGGATATCTCGGTTAGTTTGTTTGCCACAGTACAGTATTTACCTTAAGTTAATGCTGAACTACTGTAAAGCACAAGACATGAAGAGTCTGATACTACAAATATACAAAACAATATACTGTGTTTTGCCAACATTTCAATCACTGGTCTAAAATGATAAACTACTAGAGAACAAGTACAGTATTTTTATAATCTTACATTAGAAATACCTTTAAAGTTGTTTAATATCATAATTCAAGGTTCTGCCACAAGCTTTTTTTTTTTTTGGAGAGGTTTTTGCTATAGGGCGCATGTGCTCGCCAGACAGAGACACAGAGACAGAAAGCGAGAAATCACCCCCCCCCGGGGGGATGGTCACGCCGCAATCCTTTCTCCTCCATTCTCCTCTCGGGATCTTGGGCAGGCAAGCATGCACGCACACGCGCCCGGTGTGAGTTCTAAGCCACCAGGTCCGGGACGCGAACCACGGTCAACTATGTGGGAGTCCAGTGACATAGCCATTACGCTAACTGCTGGTTCCCTGCCACAAGCTTATGATGTTAACAAGTAAAACCACATAACATTATCTCAAATATAGCTGTTAGATATTGGACTCTTGATAATAAAAACAAATTACAGAATATTTCCTATAAAGCTACCTAAAAGATAAAAATTAAGAATATTAATCATCTTTCGATATTCCAATTCTCTTCCAATGGTTTTCCACATCTTTAGCAGTAGTAAAGATATGTTAACAAAATCAAATACAAATTTTTTGAGAGAGATATTTTTGCAGTAGTGCTTGTACACTTGTCTAAGAGATAAAGACACAGAAAATGAACCCTCCCCCCACTCCAGGATGGCCACACTGAAATCCACTGGATCCAGAACTTGAACCACAGCACCACATGGGAGTCCAGCACCTTAACCACTATGCCACCTGCTGGCTCCCAAATAAAGATATTTAAACCCTTGGATTCTTAAAGAATTTACTAAATTAAATGTAAAATTTAAAGTAAAATTGAACACAATATTTATAAAGTGCTGAAGGCCTAAACGAGCTGACTTTTGTATAATTAAAACAGAATACTACCTTTTTTTTTAAAATAAATGATGTGTTCATTATCCACTCAAAGGGGATAATAAATGTTTAAACTGAATACTAAGCAATAACTAATAACTCTAATTGGCTAAAATCAATCTGCAAATACTTACTGTTCTGTTTCGAAGTGACTGAAGACCTAATTTATCTGTTATTTCACTGATGGTCATAGCATTTGGCAAATCCTGTTTGTTAGCAAAAAGCAGCAGCACTGCATCTCGCAACTCATTTTCCTGAAGCTGGAAATAAAACCAAAGGCATTAACAGCTATCAAAGTGGAATCCAATTGTAGAGAACTAAGTGAAACACTGTTTTCCAGTATATACCTTTTACTCTACACTAAATATATTATTAAAATATCAACCATATTTCTTTATATAAATTTAAGATTCTCTTAAGTCCTTCAGTGTTTAACTCCTAAACAATCACATGCTTTTAAAACTTTTTAAAAATTTTATTTTTATTTGTTACTATTTTTTATTCCTTTTTCTAAAGATACCTTATTTTAATTTGGTCAGACAGGGGAAGAGAGAGATGGAAAGTGAGAAAGCAAACCACCAGGTCTGGGACTTGAACTGTTGGCCATGGGGGAGTCCAGTACTCTTAATCACTGCACCACTTGCTGGCCCTTTATTTTTTATTTTTTAATCTAACCAGAATGAGATGGAGAGAGAAAAGGAACATGAGAAAGCAAGCTGCTAGGTCCAGGACTCAAACCATGATCAGCCATGTGGGAGTTGAATGCCCTAACCACCATGCCAGCTGCCAGCTTGCAAAACTGTTTTTTAAGTCAGTCATCAAATACTCCTTCAGGTAAACCATTCATTTAGCCTCAATGATGATCGATTAAGGGTCAGAATTGACAAGGGCAAAGAAAATACACAGCATAGGGACCAGCAGTTAGGGTAATGGCTATGTCGCTGGACTCCCACGTAGTTGACGGCGATTCAATTCCCAGACCCAGTGGCTTAAACTCATGCTGGGCGCATGTGCGTGTGTACTCAAGATCCAGAGAGGAGAGTAGAGAAGGGATTGCGGAGTGACCATCTCCTCTGGGGGGTGATTTCTCGCTTTCTGTCTCTCTGCCTGTCTCTGGCTGGAGAGCCCATGTGCCCTATAGCAAAAACCTCTCCAAAAAATAAATAAAAATTTAAAATAAATAAATAAAATATACAGCGTAAATGGCAGCATGTTATGGTGCTTAGTAGCGAAGGTATTCAACTAATTGTCTTTCTGAACTTTCTAGCCAGCTGGACCAGATAACACTGGGACAATACAATTATTAGGGCAGTAGGACTGTCATGAAAAAATGCAAGAGTGCCAAGAACGGAAGCTGGTAGAAGTCCTGATACATGATTCAACACAAATGAATCTTTAAAAATTATGCTAAATGAAAAAGCTACTCATAAAAGACCCCATATTATAAGATTTTATTTATGTGAATATGCAGAATATCTGACTGCATAGAAGTGGAAATTAGTAGTCAGGAGTTGTGGAGGAGAGAATGGAGAGTGAGTGCTGATGATCCATGATTTCTTTTTAGGGTGATGAAAAATTTCTAATATTAGATTGTACACAAAGAATTACTGACATTTTAAATGGGTAAAATTTACAGTACATGAATATCTCAAAACTGTTCACAAACCCAAAAGAGAAGTTGTTGGTGGTTTTTAACTCATTAGGAAAATAGCTGCAGTGACCAAACTACACATACCCTCTACTAGCACAGTGGTTTTACAAATTACACTCTAGTCTCAGGAATCATACATGAGACTTAAGGCTTCATTTCAGTGAATATTTAATGACTGAAAGTCTGAAACCATGACAAGGTTCCTCCGCAATTTTTCTCCCTTCAGGATTTGTTTGTGCATGTGCACTCACCAGTGACAGAGTGATAGCAAGAAAGAAAGAGAGAAACTACCCCCCCCCCAGGGGAGATGAAAGTGCAGTTGTGGAGCAAACTGCCACTACTCTCCAGAAGAATTCTTTTCTTTTAGGCTTGCTATAGGACATGGGTACTTGTTAAAAACAGAAAAATTACTCCCCAAGAAGGATGGTCATGTCACAATCCCATCTCCCTTTCCCTCTTGGGATTTTGGGCATGCATGTACACCTGCTTGCATGTTTTTTGTTTTTTGGATTTTTTTTTTTTTTGGAGAGGTTTTTGCTACAGGGCACGTGCGCTCACCAGAAAGACAGAGACAGAAAGCGAGAAATCACCAAGGGGGGGTGGCCACACTGCAGTCTCTTTCTTTCTCCTCCATTCTCCTCTCGGGATCTTGGGCACGCACGCACACGTGCCTGGTGTGAGTTTAAGCCGCCGGGTCCGGGACTCGAACCACGGTCGACTATATGGGAGTCCAGCGACAAAGCCATTATGCTAACTGCTGGTCCCACGTGCTTGCATGTTTTTCAAGCCACTGGATCCTGGACTTGATTTATGAAGTTGGCAGTATGAGATCTAGCCACCTAAACCACCACACCACCAGCTGGCTGAAGAAGCAATTCTTGATCATGGTTGCTGTTAGCAAACATTTCTGAAATAATTATAGGCACAGCATAGGGAAAGCAGCCTAATCTTGAGAATAGTGATTCACAGGTGTCAAAACTACTTTAAAACCATAGATTTTTATATCTGTAAAATAAGGGACTGTAAAATCAGATGTTCTCAACTAAAGACGGGCATCAAAATCACCCATGGAGCATTCAAAAAAACAAATTGCACCTTTCTCTCAACTTAATGAAGCTACTCTTCAGTATGATTTTTAAAAAGCTCTGTAGAGGGCTGGCAGGTAGTGTGATGATTAAGGGCGCTAGACTCCCGCATGGCTGACTGGAGTTCAAGTCCTGGACCCTGGTGAGTTGCTTTCTCACTTTTTTACTCTCTCTCTCTCACTGTGTCCCTCTCTAGTCAAATTTTAAAAAGTAAAAAGTTAAATAATTATTTAAAAAAAAAAAAAAAGCTCTGTAGATTTGTATTGCACATTCTTTTTTTTTGGGGGGGAGAGGTTTTTTCGCTATAGGGCGTGTGCGCTCGCCAGACATACAGAGAGAGACATAGAGACAGAAAGCGAGAAATCACCCCCCAGGGGGGATGGTCACGCCGCAATCCCTTCTCCTCCATTCTCCTCTCGGGATCTTGGGCACGTACGCACACGCGCCCGGCATGAGTTTTAAGCCACTGGGTCCAGGATGCGAACCGCGGTCGACTACGTGGGAGTCCAGTGACATAGCCATTACGCTAACTGCTGGTTCCCTGTATTGCACATTCTTAAAAACCTGTTGATTATATAGGTTCTTTCGAGCTCTGAAAAAAAAAAGTGTGTAATCCAATCACTAACACCACCGCTGCCACCCAAAAAAAATTTTTTTTGAGAATTTTAAGTTTATTGTATATTCTTACCATTTTCTGCAGCTCTTCTGCGCCTTCCTGAATTCTCTCACGATCGTTGCTATCTACCACAAAAATAAGACCCTGGGGAAAAATTGTTTTAATAAATTATAACAGTTAAAGGACATACTAAATATGGAACACCATATATTTAGCAAAACATGTAACAAGGGTTGGATATTTATTTAACAGCAACAACAACAAAACCTCAGGGCTCTAATACTGAAAACTGATTGGAGCAGTATTTGTGATTTTTAACTTAGTAATGTTATTTCTAATCTAATAGAAAATCTTACTCTCAACCAACTGATCACTTTTCTCAACTATACTAAGAAGAATAAATTTTATCCCTTTCCCCTTCTCTACTGTCACATTTAAATGCAAGTAGGTGTAAGTAACAAAACTGTCACAAAGTGGGATAAAAGGAAATAAACCCAAGAGCCTAAGGAATCATGAATTTACTAACTGAATTTGCTTATTCACTCAAAGGCATGTACCAAGTTAAAAAGAAGTGGAAAACAGGAGGGGGTACTATAGTAGTTTTATGTCCGTCATCATGAAGAAAACACCTAGCTTCAGAATGCTGCCTGCCAACTCCAGAATGAAAAGGAAGCCTTAGGCAAAATATATCAAGAAAAATCCAAAGTTCTTGTGATCAAAGAAGAAATTCTTAAGAAAAAGAAGAGAGTGGGACCAGCAGGTGGAGTGGTAGTTAGGTAGCTGGACTCCCATAAGGCCAACTGTGGTTTGAGTCCCAGACCTAGCAGCCAGCTTTTTTCACTTTCTCTCCCTTTCTTTGTCTCTCTCTGGTCAAATTAAAAAATAACAATGGCCTGGTAGTTGAAACACTGGTCTCCCACATGACTGACTGTGGTTCAGTTCCTAGACCTTGAAGCTTGCTTTCTTACTCTCTGGTTAGCTCATACCAAATTCGAAAATAATAATAAATAAAACAAGTAATTCTTTAAAGTAATTTTCTTAAAAAAGTAACAATTCTTAAAAATGTTTATAAATATAAGAATTCTATACTACAAAAGAAATGGGAACTGGGAAGCAATTAATTGAGCTCAACTTTCTTTTTTTTGGGGGGGAGACGTTTTTTTGTTTGTTTGTTTGTTTTATGATAATAGGGCACTTGTGGGCTCGCCAGACAGACAGAGGCAGAGAGACAGAAAGCGAGAAATCACCCCCCGGGGGGATGGCCACACCACAATCCTTTCTCCTCCATTCTCCTCTCGGGATCTTGGGCATGCATGCACACGCTCCCAGCATGAGTTTAAGCCACCGGGTCTGCGACTCGAACTGCGGTCGACTACATGGGAGTCCAGTGACATAGCCATTATGCTAACTGCTGGTCCCAAGTTCAACTTTTTCTAAAAACTTTTAAATGGGAAACTATGGGACCAGCAGATGACATAGTGGTTACGTTGCTGGGCTGCCATGTGGCCAACCATGGTTAAGAGTCCCAGACCCAATGATTTGAAACTCACGCCAGGCATGTGTGCATGTGTGCCCTAAATCTTGAGAATGAAGGAGAAGGGATTATAGTGTGGCTATCCCCCAGGGGTGATTTCTCACTTTCTGTCTCTGTGTCTGTCCAGCAGGTGCACGCACAGTATAGCAAAAATCTGTTTAAAAAAATACATGGAAAATTGTAAAATTTTCAGCTACAAAATGAGGGCGATTAATTTTATTGGATTTGTTAAAAATCTGTTTTTAGTGGAACCAGCAGGTGACATGGTGGTAAAATCCCTCCCCACCCCTACCCCAGGGGGAGATGAAAATACAACCAGGAAGACTTTTTATTTTGTTTTTTAAGTTTTGGTATGGCATGCATACACTCACCAGAGACAGGGAGTCATCCCTCCCTATCCCTGTGGGGAAAGGGCACATGAGAATCCCTTCTCCATTCTCCTGTTGGGATTTTGGGCACAAGCACATGTGCCACACAACCAACCATGGTTTGAATTCCAGACATGGCATCTTGAAAATCATGCCAGGTATATGCACATACATGCCCCTAATCTCAGGAGAATGGAGAAGAAGAGACTGCAGTGTAGCCATCTCCCCCCCGAGGGGGTAATTTCTCACTTTCTCTCACTTTATCTCTTTCTCTGGCTATAGAAAGTGCCCCGTGGCATAATACAATCCTAAAATCATCTATTCCTAGTACATTTAAGTTTTTACTTTAAATATTATTTTCACTGACCCCTTAATTTCTGAATATTTCTCACTTATCAAAGATTGTCTCGGACCAGCAGTTGGCGTAATGGCTATCTCACGGGACTCCTATGTAATAGACCATGGTTCAAGTCCCAGACGCAGTGGCTTAAACTCATGCTGGGCACGTGTGTGTGCATGCCCAAGATCCCAAGAGGAGAATAAAGGAGAAGGGATTGCGGTGTGGCCATACTCCCGGGGTTTTGATTTCTCACTTGCTGTCTGTCTCTGTCTTTCTGGTGAGTGCATGTGCCCTATAGCAAAAAACCTCTCAAAAAAAAAAAAAGATCTCTTGATATATTTTTATTTAGCTTGATTTATCTATATATTAAAAAAAAAAGTTAAATCTTCAGAAGTGCCATGGAAGTGGGCTTGGCAGAGGCACCTGATACTTACTTGAGGCTACAGCCATTAAATAACATAATTTCCTTTGGTCTAGCAAATTTCAAGTCTGCCCTTTATTGGAAACCAATGCTTTTAACATCCCACCCTCTGAAAAAACTTTTAGTGCTCTGAGAACCACTACAACCTGGTGGAAGACAGACTCAAACTCAAATTTCAGCATTTCTTGTTTCTTTTTTTTTTTTTTTTGTGGAGAGGTTTTTACCCTAGGATGCATGTATGTGCCAAAAAGACAGACAGACAAGAAATAAGAAATCACCCCCCAGGGGGGATGGCCACGCCGCAATGCCTTCTCCATTCTCCTCTCGGGATCTTGGGTACACACGCACACATGCCCAGCATGAGTTTAAGCCACCAGGTCCAGGACTCAAACTGCGGTTGACTACATGGGAGTCCAGGACATAGCCATTAGATCAACTGCTGGTCCCAGTTGCAATCAGCCATGTGGGATCCAGCTGCCTTAACCACCATGCCAGGCTGGCCCTTGTGTTAAGTCTTAAAAGAAAAAAAAATATTTCCTAAATTAAATGCCTAGGACTTAATTCCCAGGGAATGGAGCTCTTAGAGATGTGTACTGATCAAACATTGGCCAGGGGACAGCAGGTAGCATAGCAGTTAAGATGCTAGACTTCCACATGGCTGACCAAGGTTCAAGTCCTGGACCTGGCAGCTTGAAACTCATGCTTGGTGCATGTGTGTGCAAGCCCAAATCCCAGGAGGAGAATGGAGAAGGGACTGCATGCAGCGTGGCCATCCCCCCTACAGAGTAATTTCTCACTTTCCCTCTCTATGTCTCTCTCTGTCTTTCTGGCAAGCATACATGCCCTATGGTAAAAACCTTTGAAGAGGGAACCAGCAGTTAGCGTAATGGCTATGTCGCTGGACTCCCACGTGGTCGACCGCAGTTCACGTCCCGGACCCGGTGGCTTAGAACTCCCCGGTGGCTTAGAACTCACGCCGGGCGGGCGTGCGTGCGTGCCTGCCCAAGATCCCGAGAGGAGAATGGAGGAGAAGGGATTGCGGCGTGACCATCCCCCCGGGGGGTGATTTCTCACTTTCTGTCTCTATGTCTCTCTCTGTCTGTCTGGCGAGCGCACGTGCCCTATAGCAAAAACCTCTCAAAAAAAAAAAAAAAAGAAAAAACCTTTGGAAAAAAAAAAAAACTTTACAAATCAACAGAGATTTACTTTGATGTATTTTCAATAAAGTAAAAACTAATTGGGTTAAATGAAGGGCTATAGATGTCTAACATTCATTAGAAAATGCAATGACAGAAAGTTAGGTCTGTACTAAGAATAAAACTGAAAAACTATTGATGAGATACCTAACTCATTCTTGAACCATGGCCCAACTCATCCCATCCCACCTTCCAAAATCTTCCTGTGATGGCTATGTAGTTCTCCTGACCATAGGTAGTTCAGCTTTCAAAAACACAAGTAAGCATCTGCTGAAGACTACAGACATAGTCATAAAAACAATGCCAATTCACATAGTAAACAGCAATACCCAAGTAAACACTACAGAGTAATACACACCTAAGAGCATGAAAACCATATAGAAAAGTCATAAAAACACAAAGCATTCCTTACCTGGGTATTCTGAAAGTAATGCCTCCAAAGAAGCCTTATTCTATCTTGACCACCAACATCCCACACTGTGAAGCAAATGTTCTTGTATTCTACTGTTTCCACATTAAAACCTACAAAAGAGAAAAGTGACTGTTGTGCAATGATGTATCATGAAGAAAAGTAAACTTTATTGTACAATTCTTTTAGAATAGTGACCTAAAAATCCTACTAAGATAACCAGGTTAACAAAAAGACATTTTCAAAATTAGACTGTATTCTATTGTTATCTATTACGTTATAAGATAACACTACAAAATAAATTTATAGAAGTCATCTGTAAACTTTCTTACCAATGGTAGGAATGGTGGTAACGATCTCTCCTAACTTCAGCTTGTACAGAATGGTTGTCTTGCCAGCAGCATCCAATCCAACTAGAAAGACATTATAGATTTAAAATCTAGAATAAAAACTCACACTAAGAAATAAATTTATAATAAAGTTACAGTTGGAGGAAAACCTGACTGGTCAGACCAGCTGGTGGCATAGTGATTAAAGCAGTTGGATCGCACATGTCCAACTTTGCAGTTTAAGTCCCAAGACACAGCAGCTTGAAAAACATGCAGATAGGGCTGGCAGGCAGCATGGTAGTTAAGGTGTTTGACTCCCATATGGTTGCCCACAATTCTAGTCCTGGATCTAGAGGCTTGCTTTTCAACTTTCCTTCTCTCTTTCTATCTCTCTCTCGTCAACTTCAAATAAAATAATGGCAATGAACAAAATTAAATAATTCTTTGGGGAAAAAAATTCCTTTCCATATTTCTGTCTAGACCTAGGGAAAAAGTATAGTGTAGTAAGAGTATCTGGCTAACTCAGATTCGAATCTCAAGCTCTGCCACAAACTAATGATAGTTGAGTATCTCTAAATAGGTCACTTTAAAACACTATGGCCAAAGAAACTGGCCTTAAAATAAAGGCTTCAGATAATCTAAGACATCCTCCAACTCAAGTCCTAATTAGCTCTATAAACTACTACCATTTTTTGAAAACAGAAATTAGCTGAATGAAAGAGCACACAAGAACAAGTGAATAGTTACCATCAGATTCATACAATAAATTTTCCTTTTACATATAGGTTTAATTTTGGGTAAAAGACCTCGACACTAAGAGGAAGAAATACATAATGATGTCCTATTCCCCTTATAGTGAAGACAAAGTAACATGAGGCCAATTTTACCCCAACTTAAATCCATTTTGAGATCAAATGGGTAGCTAGGAGAACCAAAGCCTGGCTAGCTAGTGTTATAAAAATGGCTCCATCTTGTTCATCTCTAATGTAAGTAATGTCGAAACTCTTAAAGTGATTTATTAGAGGCAGAGGTATAAGTAGGGAAGAATGTGCTTGTTTTGAGAGGAAAATCTAAGCTAGAAAAAGAGGGTATACCTTTTTATTACAATGATAATGAGAAAATTAAATGCTTATAAATAATTTCAAAGCCTATATATTCTACATTGTTTGTTAAAGCCCTCATAAATATAATCAGTATCTAATAAACTCATAGATTATATCATTATTCTAAGGACCTAGCATGTCCTGTATTTATCTCATCACAGGTTTTTAAATCAGTTCAAATTAGTATTGATTTAAAGACACTTTCTTAGTATTTAAAATAAAAAATGACTTAACAGATGAAAGCAACACTAGGGGGGTCAAAAGAACTGAAATAATTCACCTTCTTTACATTCCTGTGTAAGTCAGCTCAACTTTTATCAGTTCAAAACAGAACTGAAGGCTATAAGCAATTCAGACCCACATAACAATACTCTGTATACTACGAAGGGTCATTTTAACAACTCTCTGAAGTCTCAAGCCTTTTAGCCCTTTTTAAAAAATTATTGCAGTGTTACAACTCTTTTAGAGTTTGTCTAGGAGATTTTCCATTTTTCACTAAAAATTGTTATTATTTTACACTGGGTACATGTGCATGCATGCCCAAAATGGAGAAGGGATTGCAGCTTGGCCATCTCCCCAAAGGGTGATTTCTTGCTTTCTGTGTGTCTCTCTCTCTAGCAAGTGGATGTGCCCTATAGCAAAATCTCTATCAAAAACAAAAAAAAATCTGCTTTGGGGCCAGCAGGTTTAAAGAGGCTGGTGGATTCCCACATGACAGACCATGGTTCAAGTCTCAGACCTGGCAGCTTGCTTTCTCACTTTCTTTCTCTCTCTGGTTATAATAATAATAACAATACTAAATTAAAAAAAAATAATTATAATAAAAAATTTGCTATAGCGCACATACATACACCAGAGAGGGACAGAGAAAAAGAGAGAGAGAGGGAAAGTGAGAAAGCAAGTTGCCAGGTCTGGGACTCAAACCACATTCACCATGTGAGAGTCCAATGCCCCAACCACCACGCTACCTGCTGGCTCCCCATTAATGTCTTCTTAATCCTGTTCCCCACTTCTACATAGCATGGCGCAGGTTTTTTTTTATTTTTTGAGAGGTTTTTTGCTATAGGGCGCGTGCGCTCACCAGACAGACAAAGAGACATAGAGACAGAAAGCGAGAAATCACCCCCTAGGGGGGATGGTCACGCCACAATCCCTTCTCCTCCATTCCCCTCTCGGGATCTTGGGCACGCATGCACATGCGCCCGGCATGAGTTTTTTAAGCCACCGGGTCCGGGACGCGAACCACGGTTGACTACGTGGGAGTCCAGTGACACAGCCATTACGCTAACTGCTGGTTCCCACGCAAGTTTATTCTTTCTCAAATACTATAACATGTACTATCATAGAAATCAGAGTAAGAAGCCTATCCTAAGTCCTCATTCATGGGCTTTTTTCTTCACAAGAGAAAGAACTGATTTAAATTTAAACAGTGGTTTAATTTTAGAGTATGAAACAGGATTAGGAAGCAGAAAATGAGTCATGAAATTCAAAAAAACAAAAGTAAACTACCTTAAAGTTTGGCTCTTTTAGTAAAATACAGAAAATGAAGAAAGGAGAGTCGCCAAAAATCTATCAGACTTTTTCTTTTTTAAGGTTTATGACATAGTACACTCACAAGGGAAACATAGAGACAATGAGAAGAAAAGTGAGAAATCACCCCCCAGGGAGGATAGTCATACTACAATCCCTACTCTTCCATTCTCCTTCTGGGATTTTGGGCACATAAGCGCACATACCCAATGTGATTTTCAAGCCACCAGCTCCAGGACAAGAACCATGTTGGCCATGTAAGAGTCTACACTACCTGTTAGCCACAAAAGTTATAACTATTGGAAACCAGCAGTTAGCATGGCTATGTCGCTGGACTCCCACGTAATCGACCGCAGTTTGCGTCCTGGACCCGGTGGCTTAAAACTCACGCCGGGCGTGTGTGCATGCGTGCCCAAGATCCTGAGAGGAGAATGGAGAAGAAGGGATTGCGGCGTGACCATCCCCCCTGGGGTGTGATTTCTCGCTTTCTGTCTCTGTCTGTCTGGCGAGTGCACGCGCCCTATAGCAAAAAAAACCTCTCCCCCCCCCAAAAAAAGTTATAACTATTCTACAAAGCTAAATCTCTTGAAAGTATAAGACCTCTTTAGGTGATTTTTATTACTTTTTTTTTAGAAGATTTTTGCTATAGGGCGTGTGTGCTCCCCAGAAAGACAGAGACAAAGAGGCAGAAAGTGAGAAATCATCCCCTGGGGGCATGGTCACGCTGCAATCCCTTCTCCATTCTCCTCCTGGGATCCTGGACATGCACGCACACGCAACCAATGTGAGTTTAAGCCATTGGGTCCGGGACTCGAACTGTGGTCAGCTACATGGGAGTCCAGTGACATAGTCATTACGCCAACTGCTGGTCTCAGATTTTTATTAAAAAATTTTTTTGAGAGGTTTTTGCTATAGGACGAGTGCAGTTGCCAGACAGACAGAGAGACAGAAAGCCAGAAATCACCCCCCAGGGGGGATGGCCACGCTGCAATCCCTTCTCCATTCTCCTCTCGGGATCTTGGGCACGCACGCACATGCGCCTGGCGTGAGTTTTAAGCCCCCGGGTCCAGGACTCGAACCGTGGTCGACTATGTGGGAGTCCAGCAATATAGCCATTACGCCAACTGCGGGTCCCAGATTTTTATTAAATTTTTAAGTAAACCAAAAATTGACCTTTCCTACGTCCAAAGCTAAGCCAAGCCAAGTTAGAACTGAAACAGATGCTGAGTAGGAAAACGAAACAAAAAACTTGTACTTTCATTCCATTTAACCACAAACTTTTTGAAGTCTCATCATAAATCTAAAAATTCTGACAAAAGAATAAAAGATATACAACAATTCAAGATTATATCACTGTTTTTCTAATCAAGAGAAGTTTGTAAGTGACCAATTTTTCTTTTAGTAAGTCTTTTTTTTTTCTTTTTTTGGAGAGGTTTTTGCTATAGGGTGCGTGCACTCACCAGACAGACAAAGAGAGACAGAGAGACAGAAAGCGAGAAATCACCCCCCAGGGGGGATGGCCACGCCACAATCCCTTCTCCTCCAGTCTCCTCTCGGGATCTTGGGCACGCACGCACATGCGCCTGGCGTGAGTTTGCGCCACTGGGTCCGGGACTCGGACAATGGTTGACTACGTGGGAGTCCAGTGACATAGCCATTACACTAACTGCTGGTCCCACTTGTAGTAAGTCTTATACCTGCTTGTATGCACTTCGTTTCTTCTACTCTCAAGCATTAGGATTTTTTTTTAACCCAGTTTGTCTTACTTTCTGGCCAGCAGATGGTATGGAGGTAGTGGCTGTTGGATCCCATGTGGCCGGCAGCTGTGTTAAAGTCCTGAACCCAGTGGCTTGGAAAACACACAGGGCATGTGTGTGCCTGAAATCCGGAAAGAAAAGATGAAGGCAGCCTTGACCGTGGGGGGGAAGGGGATGTGACTTCTCACTTTCCCTTTCTCTCTCTCTCTCTGAACAATCCTGCTAAAAAAAAAAAAAAAAAAAAAAAAAAACTTTTTTAAAGGCACTGGGGCCAGCAGGTAGCATGGTGGTTGAGACACTAGACTCCTACATGGCCAACTGTGATTTGAGTCTCTGACCTGGTGGCCTGCTTTCTCACTTCCCCCTCCCTGTCTCTCTCTGGTGAGTGCACCTATCCTGTAGCAAGTTAAAAATAATATATAATAAATTAAATATTTGAAATTTAAAAAGTCACTGACTCAAGAAAGCCTGAACTTTATCTAAGTTTTATGAAGAAAAAAGAAACACATTAATGTAATTTGGAACAGAGAATTACTGGTAATGCCAATACATGGAAATGCAGACTCCTTTAAAATTACCTATTTTTATGCTGTAAATCACTCAGAAAGCCAGACAAATGGAAGAATGATCAAATTTCCAAATCATCTTTCCCTGTTCATGCACATATCCCTCATATGTTTATGCTGTCTTTGAAGAGTTACCATGCAGGTGGAACTTGTGACTAAAGTGTTTTTAATCAAGGAAAACTGAATATCCTAAAGTTAAAATGCAAAATAAGAATAGCAAACATAAGCAAAAAAACAGTTAACAAAAAGAATGATGACAAACCATGACTTCTATCTCCTGCACAAATGCAAAAAATTAAATACTTGTCTATATTTTCTTTCAATCACTTGGCAAAGGGGGAAATGCCTCCCTAATACAGGTGATATAGGAAAGCCCTTATGACATGCTTTTACTTTTTTTCTCCATTTGACATTTTTAGCCATGGCAAAGGATTTAAAGAAGTAAAAAATAGAAAATCATTTACAATAAATCTTCAGTAAAGACTAATATACTACATTTGTAGTGACACAATCATGTACTCATTAAAAAGAACAGGTAGGAAATTCATCACGGTCCAAAGTCTTCCTTTGCCTTCAGATCTTCTTTCATACTGCCAGTTTTTAGCTACTTAAATCTTAAACAGTATGTTTGTCCTCCTAAAATAAGTGTCCTCTTCATAAAGGAAATCTGAGAAACTTTGAAAAGTATTTTATCTTTTTGAATGAATGAACAATTGTTTTATGAATTGTAAACAAGCTGAACTGACAGCAAAGTGAAGTGAAAACCAATGTGCATGCGCTACCTCTTTTTAAACCTGAATAAATTACAGGAGTTTGCTTTTGAAAAGTTTTGACAGTATAGCGGAAAAATAAAGTCTTTCTCCCACTCTAGAAGACAAGCTAATGAACCAACAAGTTTTAGTGTTCAAAGTGGGGTTCCTTTTAGTACATTCAGATACGTAGAGCTCGCTGTCATGTACACACTGCTTACAGTATTATCAGACAAAGATTGCTTACGCCACCGCCCTTCTCCTTAGGCTAAGCAAAAAACTGCCCCTGAAAAGTGTCTTCTAAAAGAATTAAAAATCAAAATAATCTTTGGAACAAACAAAAATTTTGGAAGTTGCTACCCCAAAGCTTCAGCCTACCATAAAATGAATTGTTCTGAAGTTTCTACAAGTTTCTTCATTAAATCTTAGGCAGATAAAAACTAGGTTTTGAAACCAGAAAGTAAACCCAATATATCTAGAGTTATTCAAAGTAGTTAGGAAACACACACACAATAAACTGTTTTCGGAGAATAAACTTATTAATAAATAGAAGAAAAATATATGAAACGGAATCCAGGGGGAGGAAATATTTAGCAGAGGGAGCACTTTAGACCCAGGACTCCTTGGGCACCCTGGGAGCGCCCTCACCACCGCACTGGCATGGTCACTTCCTGCCCCAGGCAGCTCCGGCCTCTCCTCTTGCCATTCGCTAGAAAACCAACGGAGTGTGCAGTTGTGTACACGAAGCGGAAAGGAGGGGGTAGAAAGCCCAGTCGTTCTGCCTCCTTCCAGACCCCTGCTCACACCCGGGGAGGAGGGGATGTAAAGCATACCCTTAAAACCGGACATGCCAGTGTTCGCTCCCAAGCGTCCACTTCCCTCATCTCTATCCAATCTTGTCAGACTTTCAATAAAGTCCTGGAGAGAGTGTCAAGCCCACAAGGAGGAAAGCTTGCCCGACGACCTGTCCGGGCCCCTCGGTGAGACAGGTGTGGGGCGATCGCTCAACCTTAACTCCATTGTTCCCGCTTAAGGACTCACTCTTCCCGACCCTCACCTCTTTCTCACCACCGCCAGCACAGGAAAAAACAAGCCCAAAGACCCCGCCTTCTCACTTCCCCGGTGGGCCCTGCCTCACTCACCCATCAAAATGCGCATCTGCTTCTTGCCGAAGAGTCGGGAAAATAGGGAGGAGATGGTCAGGCCCATGATGGTAGTGGCACCTGCGATGGGCAGAAGCAGAAAGGGTTTGGGGCGTTGCCGAGTCTCCTTTCCCGCTCGGGGAAACTGAGCCAGAGAAAGAGCTGAAGAAAGACAAGCGCGGCGGGGACTGCTGTCTAGCCGGCGTGTGGGATGGAGCTCCGAGACAAGACTTTGCGGGTGAGACCTGGTTGGCGACTGGCGCTGCAGTTCCAGCTCCGGCGTTAAAGCTCCGGCTATGCCACGTCACGCGGCA